TTCCCAGTTGTCACATTTGTTCTTCTCGACAAGCCCATGAAAGGTTCAAGGCAGGAGTCATGCATCCCATATTTATATAAGGACACTGGGTCCCAGGATCACACAGCTCCTGCTGGATGTGCTGGGACTCCTGAGTCCAGTCGAAGCATCTGTCTCCTGCTTTTCCTGGTTGACGTCCAAAAGAGGGCTGACATATGCCTTAGGGGGAGGTATGGGCAGAGGGGTCAGTGCCAAGGGCCTGTGATTGGCAGGAACACCACCTCTCCAGCGTATTCATCGGGGCATCTCCTTTGCCACATCTTCTAGTGCCAGTCTTCCAATAGTGACTCTTCTCTAGGAGGCTGTCCTCGCCCCAGTGCTTCCCCTACACGTTCCTCCTCACAAGCATCTTCCTGTGCTCATCCTCTCCACACTGGAGACCTGGCGCAGAAGGATGGCTGTGTGACGTCGCCTCAGAGAGATGCCATGCCCATCCTTGGAGAGTACCCTGGTGATGTCCTCAGTGGAGTCCACTCTTCTAAGGCATGGGGTTAGCGAGACGTACCTGGCCTGCCTGGTGTGGTTCATGGTGAACAAGCTGACCTGTGGCTCGGAGGCGTGGTGCTCTGGAAAACATCATGTGAACTCTGTGCTGAACCTTTTTCTAGCCTTCCTGCAGAGACCGCCCGTGTTAAACCAAGCCGGGGCAGTCTCTTCACAGCCTCAACGGCCCTGGCCAGCAGCCGCGGCAGCCCCAGACCTGGCCATGCATTGACTGTGACTTTTGATGATTTGTATCCTCGAGGTCACTGGGGAAGCTTGACACCAGGAAGAGGCCCGGTTGGCATTATGCCCTTGGCTCCATACCCTCTTAGGGGGAGGGACTCTAATATTTACCTCCCCCAGCCCAGCCTTCTCTCCTGGGCTCCAGACCAAAGATCCAAATGTCCACTCAAGGTCTCCACTGTGTGTTCTGTGGAGAACTTAACCTTCACAAAATCTGAGCTCTTCACCAACAGCGAAGATCCTCCTTGACTCTCAGTCAATGGGACAGAGCCTCTACCCCAAGATGTTCCAACGGTCCCCCGACGGGTACCTCGGGAAGTGCTGGCTCAGAATTAAAGTACCATTCACTCATGAGCCTCCCCAGGCTATTTAACCACCCACTGCCAGGCTCTGATGGCCCTGGGGTCTTTCCTGCCTGCAGCTTAGAGCCATGGGGAGACCCTCGAGTTCAGTGTCCTGGAGTGACAGGTCCCCTGTGTTTCCGTCAGAACTCATCTACTTGCAGGTGGTGGAGAACAAACGTTAACAAGGAGAATTTCATTGGCTCACAATAAAAAATATGTGTTTCTTGAAGCACCTGGTAGTGCCAGTCAGTAAGGAATGCTCAAAAATAAGACAAACCCCACAGTGACGTGGCTTTGTCCTGGGGCACAGGAGGCCCCTGAGAGAGCTCCCCTGGCCCAAGCTGGAACCATCAGAGAAATAAATTACTAATAGCATCGGTTTGTAACTTCAAGTAAACAATAAATACCTACAAGTCTACACTTATGTAAAATAAGCATTGAACAATGTAATAAATGGGAAAGAAGAACCAAATTTCCTGAAGAAATAATTTCCAAATAATTTCTGGGCATACTCAACCGTAAGAGGGGGGGGCATGGCTCCCCACTCCTTCATGCGGGCTGAGGAGGGTGACTTCTTCCCAAAGAGGGCAGGTGGAGGGAAGGAAGTGGCAGCTCACAGTGGAGACTCCGGCAGCACCGTCTCTACCGGAGGTCAATCAACACCAGTGGTCACAGATCCCGTTGGTGGTAAGCGCCCTCCACAGGATGGGACAAGAAGGCACTTCAACTCCATGGTCTCCTGCGCAGCCTGTAACCCCAGTCCAATCATGAGATGAGAGGGCATCCTGCAAGGGCCTGACCAGTACAGCCCAAGACTGCCAAGGTCACCAAGCCCCGCCCAAGTCTGAGAACCTGTCACAGCCGAGAGGAACCAAGGACATGTGACCACTGAAGGTCATGTGGGAGCCTGGATGGGATCCTAGACTTGCAACCGGACATTAAGGAAAATTGATGAAACAAGTGAACGTGGACTTCAGTTGGTAATAGTGCCCGTCTGTGGTTCTGCTGGCCACAGAACCCGCCTGAAGAGAGGGGGGACGACGGGAGCGGGGAGCAGCGGCACGTGGACACTTGGCGATATCTCCTCAATTCTTCTGTAAATCTAAAACTGTTCTTTTAAAAAGCCCTTCAGTTAAAAAGAAGGAAAAGAAACCCATGCTTCAAGCATGAGGGGCCCAGAGTGACAAGGCTGCCACCAGGATGGCTGTGCTCAGGCCTTGGCCTCCCTCTGGGGGTCCCGGAAGCTCCAGGCTTTACTGAGTGTCCGCCCAGGAGACCCAGAGATGCTCACTGCAGGGCTCCCTCAGTCCATGCTCCCGTGGCTCTCAGGGCCACCCTGAAAGTCTCCCCGAGGCCTGGGACTGGGCAGGTGTCCCCTGCAGCCCTGAGTCAGAGCGGGGTGCACCTGACATAAGGCGTGGGAAGCAGAGAGTGTGATCAAAAACCAAACACACCAGGCCCCTGGGGGCAGAGCAAAGAGCCCATGTGCACGTCAGCCAGGACTTGATGTCCCTGCATCAAAGGGAGGCATTTGGGCTACTCTCAAATTTACGCCACAAAACGACCTCACGACCCAACCTCCTCCTTCAACACAAACTACCCTATGACCCAACCTCCTCCTTCAACACAAACTACTACACCATCCAACCTCATCCTTCAACACAAACTACCTCAAGACCTAACCTCCTCCTTTAACACAAACTACCACACCATCCAACCTCCTCCTTCAACACAAACTACCACACCATCCAACCTCATCCTTCAACACAAACTACCACACCATCCAACCTCCTCCTTCAACACAAACTACCACACAATCCAACATCATCCTTCAACATAAACTACTACACCATCCAACCTCATCCTTCAACACATGACCCAACCTCCTCCTTCAACACTAATTCCTCATGACTCAACCTCCTCCTTCAACACAAACATCAACACCAGCAGTTTTCCATGATGTCGGAGCCTCCTAGACTTTCCCAGTTCATGGACCCTTAACATCCCAATGTTTGTGGGTACATGCGTGCGTGTGTGTGTGTGCGTGTGTGTGTGTGTGTGTGTATGTGCGCGCGTGTGGTGCTAGGAATTGAATCCATGCTAGGCAAGCACTCTGTGTTCTTAAACCAAAAGAAATCCCAAAAGGTTGCATTTATTGAGTTGTTGGGCCAAACAACTTAACCGTGGTAGGTGCTTGATGTCCCATATGTATCGTGGCTCCCCTCATGTCCAACAGAGGTCCCTGTGCATCCATCGTCACGCAGGTGTCTGTAGAGGTACACAGGGTAGGTAGCTGCTACTCTAGCCGTGAAAACCGACAGGACATACCTGATGACCATGTGCCCAAACAGGGACAGACACGAGGACCATGAGCCACACGGTTAACAACCAATTGGCAGGAGGGTGATTAATGTGCAAGGGCCACCTGGCTCCCTGGTTGTCTTGGCAGGAGTGTGCAAGGGTCACGTGGCCTCCGTGGTTGTCTTGGCTGTGAGTGTAGAAGGGCCACGTGATCTCCACAGTTGCCTCGGTGGCCTTGTGGCTGTGCCAAGGACACATCTCCCCTATCAGTCAGGCTTCTCCAGAGCAGCAGAACTACTGGGCTGTGTGTATGTACAGAGAGGGATTAATGTGAGCAGTTGGTTCCCCTGAGGGTGGAGACGTGGCTGGCAGCCGGGAGACCAGCATGACGGTGCGAAGGAAGCCCAAGGCAGCCGGCCGAGGATCCAATCACTCTGGGAGGCAGAACTTTTAGTTCTATTTGGATTTTCAACTGATTGGACGAGGCCCACCCTCGTTATAGAAGGAAGTCCGCTTACTAGAGTTTACTGATTGAAACATTAATCCCATCTAAAGACCCTCTAAGTGGACATCAAATTAATCCTCAACTCCCTAGGTATTTTATGTCCTCACATTCTGCTCATTGAGATTGGGACTGGACTGGTCATGGGCCTCTTTCCTCTGGGCCTGCATTTCCTGGGTCCCCACCAAAGATGCAGTGACATCAGGGAATGCAAAGCTTTATGTGAAGCTTTTCCCCACGACCCACGACAGGGTGACGGGTCTTCAGGAACGGACCGTGGGGAGGATGATAAAACAAACGCTTCCTACTCCTCCCTCCCTGACTCTCACCTGCTCCTCCAGTGGCCCGGGAGCAGCAAGCCCAGATGTCAATGTCACAGCAGCTCCTGAGGACTTGGGACATGGCTGTTCATGTATACCAGCTGGACAGGCCCAGAGACCACCAGTGGCCAGCATGGCCACGGGCAGCTCAGTGGCCGCTGCCCTGACTGTCCACAGCACTCTGAGTGCCATTTGAGGACCAGCCTGTCACTGGCTGTCCGTTCACATGATTCTGGAGGCTGGTCCCTTGGTTGGGCCCTGGGTGGGCGTGGAACTTGGCCTAGCCTAGGAGAGGGCCACTTTGGGCCTTTAGTGACCTGAGTGTCAAAGGGCTAAGGAGAGAGGGTCATCACAAGGGGCTGGAGTCCGAGGAGTCAGTTACACTGGGGGAGGTCAACTGCAGGTGCTGAGGGTATCATGGCCACACTTAGCAGCCCTGCCTGGGGGACATGGCCACGGAACCACTGTTCCTGGAAACTTCTTTTCAGCCAGGAGGTCAGGCGCGCCTGCATCTTCACACCACCCGATGTTCGTGTTGTTCACACACACACACACACACACACACACACACCCTCTTCTTGGGTTCAGCCAATCTGAATTGGGTAATGGTCACCAGGAATGGAGGGGGTTCTGATAACAGAGACCCAAATCCCACCCGGAACCCGGCCCAGCCTGGTTTGGGCTGACTCTTCTCGGCCCTGGTTCCTCGCCTTCTCCTCGACCTGCGTGGTCCCTCCCGGTCACACCACCTTTGGTTAAGGACTTTTATTACCCGTTGAAAACGGCCCTGAGCAAGAGGCAGGACAGAAGCCCCCGCAGGAGCCAGCACCTGGGGCTGCCCAGCTCTGAGCACCCCGAGGACCTGGAGTCCCTGGACTTGTGTTTCAGGGTGGACCTCCTTTTCTCGGTGTCAAAGGGCCTCCCCTCCACCTGGGTGACGTTCTTGATCCAGAGCTGGTAGTTGGCCAGCGAGGTGTATATTCCTGGGGTGTTCTTCTGCCCACAGCTCCTGCCCCAGCTGATGATGCCCACCTGGGACCACTTCTTGCTTCCTTCTGTCGTGCAGACCAGGGGCCCCCCACTGTCGCCCTGCAGGCAGAGAACAGAGTTCATGGCGGGTCCTGTTCTAAGCTGCCCACTGAGGCTGGGCTCAGCTTGGTCAAGGGAAGGGGCTTCACTGGCTCCCCGACTCCAGGCTGCCAAAGGAATCCCATCCATGCTCCCCTGGGGGCGCCCTGCGGTCAGCCAGCAGCTGTGGGGAGACGCATGCAGGGCCAGGCAGGGCCGAGCCAGGGAGGAGGACGCAGTGGTCAGTGAGAAGAGCGAGGAGCGCGCCTCTGCAGCCCAGAGAGGGGCGGGAAGGAGGCAGAGGAGGGAGGGAGGCCAGCGTTGAGGATTCTCAGATCAGAGGCTCTGGAGAGGGAGAATAGGAAGTGGGCGTGAGAGGCGTCGTCAGCGGGCACCATGAGTGGGTCTCCTCTGGCGAACTCCAGAGCTGTGGGGAGGACGGCATTCTGTTGAACACTCTGGAGTGGGTGCTGGGGGGCACAGGAGCTAAGTCTCCCTGGATGCACTGCCCCCGCTGTGGGTCTGTGACTTGTGTGGTTGTGCCCACACATGATGCAGATGTGCCAGGTATCCACCGAGGACCTCATGTACACGTGGCTTCCTCTCACCCCTTCTCCTGGAGGACCAGCCTCGAGGAGGAGAAAGCGCTTGCTGAGGGTCACCTGGCCAGAGCCGGAAGCCAGGGTCTCCTGATGCCAACACCCCCAGCTCCCCAGCTGGATCCTTCTGTCACACACTGCCGGTGGCCTTTCCTCAGTCCTGCGGGCTGGCTGGACAGTGCAGCATGGGGTGGACTCCGGGCAGGAGTCTCCTGCTGAGCTGTTGGTGTGGCCTGGCTCTGTGGCTGCCTCTCGTCAGCCCCACGGCCTCCTCTCGGTGAGCAGAGATTTTGATTCCCATTTTGTAAGTAGAAAGTTCGAGGGCCACGAGAGGGCTGACCTCTGCTGGACAAACCCTCACCGAGGAAACACATCATGCCTGGTCTGGGGGTCCGAGACCTCCTGGCCTAGCAGAGAAGATGCACTTGTGGGCCCTCAGGAGACTCGTGTGGCGTGAGACAGAGGAGGGCGCACTCTGGCTCTGGGAGAACGAGGGCAGGACAACTGGGGAGATGTGACTCAAAGGGCACTCAGTGGCTTGACGGGCTGGGCCGGGTGGCTGGAGGGGCCTCAGGCAGAGGGCAGTAAGAGGAGGTGAAATATGAGGGTCCAAACCAGGGCAGGTCACGTGGGGGACGGGCAGGAGACACCACCAGGTGTCTGGCCCCAGATGGACACTGGACATAGGCTGGGAGGACTCATTCAGGGTCAGAGGCTGCAGGAGACAAAGTACAGGGGAAGGTCAGGAGTAAACGTGTCCCTGTGGAACTTGGTCTTGCTGCAGAAGCATCACTGGGCAGGGGACGTGCAGCCCCTCACTGTGACTCCACAGAGTCGGGGGTCATGACTGCCTGAGGACAGCCAGCAACTTGGGCCCAAACCAAGTGGCCTTTTCCAGGACAGAGTGTCCCCCGGCACCTCCTCTTGCCCCGGTGCTGGCTGGTGAGTTACAGGGCAGAACCCACTCGACAGCTTCTATTCCAATCGCTCCTTCTGCAAATGTTGTCTTACATGATCTTCTTTGTTTTATGAAGGACACCCGTGGCAACAATGTCTTAGGAATGTTGCCTTGATTACTTATTTCCTTACACAACAGGGTGAGGGTGTCCTGGGCAGGAAACTTCCATGTCCATCATTCTGTTGGAACGGAGAGACGCCCGCCTGCTCTCTAGGACGGTGGCCCATGAACTGCAAAAACCTGTGAATCGCTGGGACGAGCCTGTGTAGCGGAAGTTCCAGAAATGGGTTAGCACCATTGCTCTGTGCGTGGCCCACCAGCTGCCTTCAGGGAACAGTTGTCCCTTCCTGGTGGCTGGGCCCAGGGGCGTCCGTAAGTGGACGTCCTTCTATGTTGGTTTTTTCTCTTCCTCTTGGGAAGCAAGCAGCACCAGAGGAGCCACCGAGAGGGGCCTTCCTGCAAGGGCTCAGCCTGTAGCCGGGGTCTCTGCTGAGAAACGCTGGCTGAGAGCTTCCCGAGTTTGCCACCAGGAGATGAAGGACACCACTGCTGTCCTGTTTGGCGCAGAAGCAGGTGACCGGGCTGCAGGCCTGGCCTCTTCACTGATGTCGGACTTTGGGAAAACCACTTAGATTCTGAATCCCTGTTCTTTCACCTTCCAGCCCACCTCACAGAGCCACAGGGAAGACCCAATTGCTGATAAGGTGCCGAAGAGCTTCAAAGTGACCGCAGGTCTGTCCAGGTGGTCAAGGGAGTCATGAGTGATCACGATGACCACGTTTTCTCTTCTGTAAAACGGCCTTCTGGTTGAATGTGTTCAGACTCCTTCTCGGCTCTAAAGGCCCGTGGTTCTGAAGGCCTGAGCGTTTTTCTGCAGAGTGAGAGATGAAGTGGGACGCAGCCTGGAACGCAGCCCAGCTCTAAACCAGGGTCCACGGCAGCCCCTCAGCCAGACTGGCCCACGTCCAGCGCTGCCCGCTCGGACCCCTCCTCCACCGGCAGACTCCAGGGCCCTTTGGGGTTCCCCCCAGGGGACCTCTCCTCAGGGGCGACGTTACTGTCGGTTCTGACAGCCGACAGCACCCGGCTTGCAGCTGGGCCTATCTGACAAACATTTCTTAGGCATTTGTCATGGGCAGAGCACGGGGCGCGGCCCTGGGAATTCACCCCTGAATAGACAGGTGTCTGCCCGGCCGGGAGCAGGCAGGAGCCCAGAGATGGGCTCACCAGGATGGCTGCTCCCCAGGAGACGCCACCAACGCTTCATCTTCTTAGCTGGGGATAGGTTCCAGTTTATATTTTGCTTGATTGTGCCACTTTAAAATTATTTTTAAAAGTTGGGCGTTTTGAGACAATTGAAGACTTTATTGTAAGAAGTAATGCAGAGATTTCCCAACCCCTCAGTTTCCCCAGTACTATCTGGCAAAACGGTAGAGCCTGATGGGTACTGTCAAGAGGCAGGACTTCTCTGTGCTGAGGAGGCTTCTGCTGCCCTCGGTAGCCGCGCCCACTGCCCCCTTCCACAGCCAGCCCCGCCTTGCAGCCACCAACACTGGCTTTCCGCTGGACTTAGTGGGCAGGATCGAAGGAGGTTACTTGCTCCACTGTATCTGGGTCCGGGTCCTTTGTCCTGTTAGATTTGGTGATCGTGTACATCATCCAGGACCGGAAAGGAACAGGGCGCGCTAGGTGTTCAGTCTGGCTGTCCCTTGGCTGTCCCTTTGGTCCTCTGCTGGTGGAGTCTCCTCTGCCTGGCACACGCTGCTGGCCTCCACCTCTGCTGAGCTCAGAGGCCTCGCTCCTTCCTCTTCTGCCTGCCCAAACCCTGACCCAGCAGGCCCTTCCCAAGGTGCCATCTCATGGTCTACCTGGGGAAACTACCAGTCTCCTCTGTTATCAAGAAACACTAGAGAAGACTGTGGGTAAACACAGGCCCCTTCCACGGTCGGGCTGTCTGTCCTTCACTGCTTGGAGGGGTTACATCTGCACCTGGAGACTTGCACCCAGACCAAAGCCAGCACCCGGCTTGCAGGTGGGCCTTAATGGGCTCATCAGAGGGAGCCCCCCAGGACAAATAGAGGGTCTTTGAGCTTTAAACACAACTCCTGTCACTCCTTGGAGCCAGAGGGAGCCATGCTCTGAATGTTTTGTTTTTGTTTTTCATTTTTCATTATCCTCAACATCAACATCAATCAAATGTGTTTTTCTTTTAAAAGTTTCATGTCTGTTTTATTAAAGAGAACCTAAGAGATCAGACTTTGGTTCACGGTAAAGAAACCGGCATCACCCACTCTATTATTTATTGCTTATTGACCCAACTGTCTGCCCAAGAGGCTAGGGGCAGGGACCACACCTCATTCCAGCCACCAGGGGCTGGCGTGCTCCATAGAGGTTGCTAAATGATGAATGATGATGACTCCTGGTATGGGCCTCAAATTCTCCTTGACTTTGTCTTTTTAGGAATTTCTACAAGTGGAAGTCTGGGGGTCCCATGTACCTAGCGTCCACTCCATGTCTGCACTCGCACAGCCAAAGGCCCTGACCCCCACGATTTCCCAGACCCTCAGCTGTCTCTTCCCAGCAGAGAGAGGGTACCCTTGCATGGCAGCCCCCCGGGGTGGGGGCCTGTAAGTGGAGGAGGCAGGGCCTCGGTTACCTGGCAAGCATCGTAGCTCTCGTTCATGAATCCTGCGCACAGCATATTTTTGGTAAGTTTTGTAAACGTTTTTGCACATTCATTCCAATCTATGATGACCATCGGCACTTTCAACAGATCGGTTTTCATAGACCCTTTGTCAGCTGTCCAGGGAGAGAGCATGTTAGAAAAGTCACCAGGCAGTAGACATTGCAACGGCGGTGCCCTAGAGACCGCCAGCCCCACCCACCATCCCGCATGCTGCTCATGCCCTGGCCATCCACCTTCTTCAGGTCATCTGTGCCCAAAGGGTATCCTGCCCAAGCTCTCCCAAGAGACCACCACCTGCTGGGATCATTCATTTGATGGCCAAACTTCGAGCCCTGCTCCAGTCAGCCCGCGAGCTCGACATCTGGGGACGGGCCAGTGGACAGCCCAGCATGGTCCTGCCTCCTCCGCTTGCTGCCCTGTTACCAGTTTGTCACGTGGGCACAGCGCTTCCCTCCCACAGGGCCACAGACAGCAATTTGCACCCCATAAAGAATCACTAGGCCCCAGGCGTGGAGAGGGCGATAAGTCTTCAGAGGGTTTAGAGGGCGCTTGAGCCCCGGGCCTCCAGGTCTCCTGGGCTCCTTCTCCTTCACGCTGACCACACATGCATCTCATGATTCCTCCCCTCATCCTCATGCCCATCAGTTCCTGCCCTCCTCCTGCCTCCCTGTGGGGCCCTGGCCTGAGCAGCTCTCCAGGACGCCAGGCAGTCACGCACCTGAAGTGGTCTGGCCCCACCCTGCCACCCAGCACTTGTGCCACTTGGATGGCATGGGCTCTGGGGGCATGCAGATGGGCACTATCAGGCTATTGAACTCGATGGGCGAGGCCACCATCAGCAAGGCGATGTCGTTGTCCATGCTTTGTCTCTTAAATTTATTGTGATAAACTATGCTGCTGACCGGCTTTATTTCCAGACGTGGGCTGGTCAAGTCGTTGGTCCCCAGCACGACACTCAGTTCCTCTGTGCTGGTGACATAGAACCAGAGAGGGGAGGGGAGGAGGGGTCACAAAAGCACACAGAGCTCACTGTGCCCCAAATACCAGTCCTCATAGAGTTTGGGGGGCCTTTAAGATGATCCTTTTGTTGCTCAGAAAGTTTGAGGATTTAGAAACTAAAGAGAGGACAGAACCATCAGAGAACAGACCCCAGTCCTCAGGGGTCCTGAGGTTGAATGTGACCCTTACATGCAACAGAGCAGAGGCAGGGCTCAGTTTGGAGCACTCTAAAGAGCCCACAAAGGACTAGTTGGCCCAGACCAAGCCAGTCTTCAGATAGGTAAGGCCTGGTGACATGTGCCAATGATTGCACATTCTGCTCACGGCAGTGGTTCCAACAACCATTTAGAGACTTAGGAGCTGAGTTTAATTTGACCTTCCACTGGCTGAGCAGAAAGACCCCGAGTAATCAGACAGCAGGCAGGGCCCCTCCAGGCAGATGGCCAAGAACTTTCTGGTAGCCAGCTCTGAAGTGCCCCCCAAGAGCAGGTGCTGCAGTGTACTCGGCTTTGCACGCGGTTTCACGGGGTTTACCCAGATCTGTCAGCCTTTCTGGGTACCTTCCAAAGCTCTTGAGGTGGTGAAGCAGGGTGCCCAAGTGCCGGAGCATTCAGGACTGCCTTCCACTGTGAGCTGTGGTCCCTGGCGGGGTCACATAGCTTTATTGGACCTCAGTTTCCTTATCTATAAAATAGAGTAATTTATTCTGCCTGCCTCAGAGGGTCATTGTACAGGTAAGTAATTTAACACAGGTAAAATCTTAATGGGGTCCCTGGAGCATGGTTCATGATCAGGAAATGCCAGCAGTCAACCGTCAGCTGAGCAGAAAGCACCCTACAAGGAGCAGGAAGGACGCACTCAGGTGGCCAGAGACCAGACGTCCAGGATTTCCAAGAAGCACTTGGATGTCCTAGGACAGGTGGATGGACTGAGCGCTCCACCTCCACAGGCCACAGGTGTTCCTGGAAAGGACAGCGTGTGACTTTGCTGCACAGAGCCACGGGCCCTGGCACAGCTTGGGGTCCACTGTGCAGTGCCCACAGGCTGGAGGGCGGACATTCATGTCTGCATCAGGATACAACGGTGCCAGGACCCCTTCACCATCAGGTCTGGCCACGCGTGCGGCTGCCCGGGGCTGGCCCTGGGTACTTACGGTAACTCGCCGATTACGCAGTGAGCAGCTGTGAGGATCCACCACGAGTTGAGGATGGTGCCGCCACAGAAATGTTGATTTGCTGCCTGGATACTCACCTGCCACGGAAACTCACCCACCTCAGCCTCCAGCCCCCCGACGATTCTGGAATACCGCATCTTCCGGTCCTCGAAAGTGGGCCTCTCGCCACATCCTGCTGGGATGGAAGAGAGCAGGGGGGAAACATGAAACACCTGTCACCTCCACATGGGCCAGGTTGCTGGGGGAGACGCTCGCAGACAGATCTCCCTGGCCCTGTCCTGGAGATGAGGACACTGGGCCGGCCCCGGAGGCTCCGGTGTGACAGGAGCAAGCTGACAGGTTCTTTTTCGTTGAGCAGAGCTCAGGATGTGGTCCAGAACATTGGCTCTGACTCTGCCAGCTCCGGGGTGTCAGGCAACCACGTCTGCCCAGAGAAATTGGAGGAAATAATGTCCAAAGTCAACCCCACAGGACCCCCTCAAAGATACCCCAGTCCTCCAGGGCCGCAATCTGGGACCTGCAAATATTTTCCCTTACAAGGCAACAGGGAATTTGGAGATGGAATTGATCAGCTGACCCCAGCATGCCTCACTGAATGGACCCAGTGCAATCACAGGACCCTTAAGAGTGTTGGGGAGCTGGGGCAGTGGAGCAGGCACTTGGGAGGCTGAGGCAGGGGGATTGCAAGTTCCAGACCAGCCTGGGCAACTTAGCAAGAAGTTGTCTCAAAATAAAGAGGCTGGGCACAGCTCTGGGGTGAAGTGCTTGCTTAGCATGCATGAGGCCCTGGGTTTAACCCCCAGCACCACCAAAAAGAGAAATGGTAGGAGGAAGGCAGAAGGGAGTCCATGCTGGGTGGAGGTGAGTACAGGAAGGCCCCGGGAGATCAAGCCTGCGGCTCCAAAGATGGACACAGGGGCCCCAGACCAGCTCCAGGAGCCCCGGAAGGGGACGCTGAGGATCCAAGGCTGGTGTATCTGCAGGAATACCGTCCTGCCTTGGAAATAGCCCTGGAGGCTGAGCTGACTTCTGCCCTACGGGACGGCAAGGTGAGGAATTGCTGTTTAAGCCACTCAGTTTGTGGCTGCTACTCATAGCAACTCTGGGAAAGGAAAAGATGTTTCCAGAACAAGGTGGGAGGGTTGATGTTAGAAAGCCCAAGACCCCCTTGAGCCTGTCTTTATTCTAATTGTCCAGTCATTGGCTCAACGGTGGCTTTCAGGATGTCATAGTCTGGTTTGGAATGAGGAAGTCATGGTCATTTTTGGTTCAAAAAAATGGGGAATTTAGCAACATTGTATCAAGAGGCTCCAGCTGTCAATAATCCATGAATGTCTGTTCAGGACTTTTGGACCTGCACTTCCTATATCTGACTTATCAGACCCACTATAGTGCTTAGATGTGTGTCCGATGCTGTTTCAAACACCTTACAAAGACCAATTCACTGTGACTTTTACAACCACCCTACGAAGTAGGTACTGTTATTTCCATCCCCATTTTATAGTTAGGACAAATGAGGCACAGAAAGGTTAAGTATTTGCCCAAGGGCACACAGCTAGTCCATGGCCCAACCAGGATTTGAAGCTGGGCATCTGGCATTGGAGTTGACCTCCTACCACTCCCAGAGCTGCTGTCTGCCTGTAAGGTTCTCTTCACGGGTGCCTGGCTCACTCCCTCACCTCATCCCCGCCTTGGCCTAAGAGTTGCTCCTTTAAGGAGGCCAAGCCAACCCCTCCATCCTGGCTACTCTGTCTCCTGCCCAGCATTACATTTCTTCATGTACCATCATGGCGTTGGGTCACTGGGGTCCCCTGGCCTGACTGATGCCAGAGCTTAAGCTCAGCTTGGAGACAGCAGCAGCCTGCCTTGGTGACACTGGTCCCAGGGCAGGAAGAGGATGTCCCAACGATGAGGGAGCCTTGGCTCCAGGAGCCCTCATGGACACTCACCCCCGGGGCCAGGCCATCCGTGTTGGACGATATGCACTGACCTAACAGTAACAGACTGAAGCGACCCGTGTTAGGTGGATAACACGCATGTTCACCCGTGTCGTCCGCGACTCCTCGGCTGGAAAGTCGGGCTCGTGGGGGATTTTAATGATATGGGGAAAGGCTTGGGATAAACAGTTGAATAGAGAAGTCAGGGTCAAAATCATATTTAGAACTTGTGATTTTACCGTATTAAACATCTGGACATCCACACGTGGGAGGAACCACAGTCAGGATCCCTGAGTGGGGTGAACTCGAGGGCCCATGGGTGACTGCAGGGGGCTCCTCTTTCTGAGACGCGGCTGCGGCACCTGCTGAGAGCGTGGCCCTGGGGCAGACCCCTGAGTCTGACCCTGGCCCTGTCACTCATACATGATCTGAGGGAAGCAGCCGTCCCTTCTTATCCCCTCTCCACTCCTGAAATGGGCAAGAGACTCTCTCCACCTACGAGATGGACACTCAGATGGAGCCAGGTTGATGAAGCGCCCACGGGGGCTGGAGCAGAGGGAGGGGTCCTTGAGCCATCTTAGCTGTCAGAATTTCTCCTCTCTTTGCACCCAGTCCCCAGGGACTGGCAGCTGGGCCCATTCTTCACTCTCTTGGTCCTGAGAACAGCAGCACCAGGGTCCAACCGTCCAACCCAAGTTCTTTGGGTTAAAGCAAAGCACCAAAGCCGGGTGGCAGTGAAGGCAGCAGAGATGGGGAGCAGGGCTGGGAATGAGCACGCACTTGGGGTGTTCTTCGGAGGATCCGCCCACACCCCCTCTCCCCCACGCTCCTCCCTGCACCCACCTCAGGACGGCTGGCAGGAGGCCAGGTGTGCAAGAGCTAGTGGGCAGAGGGAGGGAGGGACTGGCACAGCAGGCTGGCTGCTGCCATCAGCCCTACCAAGTTCCTGCAGAGTGACTTTGGGCGGGTCCTGGACCTTGAGGCTTGGCTCCCACCCACACTTAGGCTAAGAGCAGAAACTCCCCCACGGTGGGCAGCTTCCACCTAGTACTTGGCCTAGAGCTGCTGCCGCCAAGTAACCCAGTTTCCTTCCAGCCCTGGCCACGTCTCAGAGGGGGGAGCCTGTTGAGAGCCACAGCCAAAGGGGCCCCAGCAAACTTCCAGCTGCCGGCTGATGATTGGCTCACAGCGGCCCCAGCAACATCTAGCTGATTGGCTCCTCTGCGGTGATGCTCATTGGGCTGTTTCCCTGCCCTTTCAGACCACGGAGCTGCTCACTGGGGGACTTTTTTGGCTCCGCCCATGTGACCCAGCCAATCGGCCTCAAGAGCAGGAGGTGTGGGAGGTGGAGAGAAGCTTGTGGGGGGGAGAGAGAGGCTTGTGGGAAGCCGGTGGTGGCAGTTGAGGCTCTGAGGGTTTTTCCTGAGAGGCTGTTTTGTTTGGCGTGTGTGGTTCTAAAAATAAAGTTAGTTTCTTTTGACAAGTGGCTCCTGATTGTGCCCAGCCAGACTGCGGCAGGAGCCACCCTCTGGAGCCGTGAGGAGCACACTGAGACCAGAAGCAGCCTTAGCTTGACGTGCTGAGTCCCTCTTCCATTCTGCTGGCAGGTCCCGGGAAGCTCCTCACCCTGAGTCTGAAACTGAGGCTCAGTTACTTTCGGGCACATGCTTCTGGGCTCTCCATGATGCTTTCTGGGGTAAAGTCTTGGGTTTCAAAACCAAAGCTAAAGGTCAGATTGTCAAACTCTGGACTGGGGAACAGGAAGAAAGACAAGTGGCCCCAAGGAGGGTGACTGGGAGCACATCAAGTCACCCTCTTGGGCTCTCCTGGAAGGGCCTCCCTGACCAGTTGGCTGATTACAAGCCCGTGTCCGGCTCTTTCCTGCCCCTAATGCTCAGTGGGACTGGATGAGGAGGTGAGGAGGGCACTTGTCCCCCCCCCCCCCGCCAGTGCCCGCTGGGTCGGTTGCTCTGGCCCCAGGGAGGAGCCCACATACCTGGGTCCGCCCCCGTGGCCTGGGTGATGAGCAGCACAACTGAGAAGAGAAGCATGGGCCTGGGCTGGGCTGTGGGCCGGGAGGTGGAGGAGGCCAGGGCGGAGGGCGGTGGCACTGGCCGTGGAGGAACCAGCCCTGCTGGCGACGTCACAATGGGCTGAGGCTGAGGTCAGGAGGCTTCTTGCTACCTGTTTGGGTTCTAAAATGGTTCACAGAGGGCTCTCTGGTCTGAGCCTCCCTCCCAGCCCGCTGGGCTCCCTGCTGACCTGGCGTCCTACCTCCCCCCAGCCCACCCTGGGCACTTTGGGCCGTCACGCCCAATCCTTCTTTAAGGCTCCCAGGCTTCCCCTTCACGAGCCTGTCAGTGGGCCCCTGGTGGAGGCCAGGTAAGCCCTGCCAGCTGGGCCTCTCCAGCACGAGGCCTGCGGGGTCCAGTGACCCTCTTCCTTCCTGCTCAGGACTCTGGCCAGCGCCCAGGCTGGGCCTCGTGCTGGTGCAGGGTGCCCCGTCTCCTCCAGACCCGCCCAGAGGGCAATACCCCCTGCCCCCAGCACTTTGTGGTTTATTCCACAGGAAGCTGAAGCAGAGTGTGACCAGGGTGGAGTGCCACGGGGTTTGGACCCAGTAACTGCAGGACTGTTACCCCAGAGTGATCAGAGAAGCCTCTGTCCAGCCGGACCTCAGAGGAGCCAGGAGTCAAGTGAAGAGGGAAATGGCACTCCGTGGCTTGGTCTTCCTAGGAGTTACTTAATTGCTGGTCTCTGTGAGAGTGTTGTTTCCGCACTGGCTTAAACTGTAACATTTCTATGCTATAATTCACACCCTGGGGAGTGTAAGCTCCTGTGACCTTGAGAAACACCTCCCTGTGACAAAGGCCACTTCCCGGACATCCCTTGCAGATTCTCCTCTGCCCTTGTTCTGCTTCAATAAATAAGAATTTCTGCTCATGGTCTGTGGTCATGTGGCCCAAGAATTGAACCTGCCAATACTGTCCTAGGCAAGGAATGACATCAGATTTCCTCTGAAAGCCCCATGTGACCTCAGCTCCGGGCCCAGAACTTCAGAACCCACTACTGGCTCATCTAGATCCAGCGGCACCATAAACCTGAGTTCTCCAACCCTCCGAGTGGTGCTGGGTCTCTTGCTGAGCACGATTTCCACAACACAAGCCGACCTGGGCAGGACAAACTATCTTACTGGGTGGCAAAGGTCAGCAGGAGATGAC